TATGGTGCTCTACCTAACGTTATGAAAAAAAAAAAATGCGCCTTTAGTTTAATCAAATATTATAAACTCTGCTTTGGTGATTGCAAAATTATTTAATTTAGCGAAATAAGGCAGTTACCACCATTGTCCAAAACAACAGACGGGAATTACTGCTTTCTTCAACCCGCGACATAAACGTCATTGATTGGTATTGTATATAGGGTGATTAACAACATTTGAAGTTAACTTCTGGCATCTACATATTGGCGTTCTGTGAATTATGTAGGTAAATCAAATTATGAGACTAGGATATGACACTGCATTTGTGTAATCACAATCTTAGAGCCGGACGTTGACATGACAATGCAGCCACTGCCAATTTTAATTAGTCGATGAATAAAGTAAATGAATTTTATATATACTGCTAAACTACTAAAAAGAACACAAACAAAAGATGACTTTTTGAATAAGTGCTAGTTTACTATAAATTTTTACATACATTAGTTAAATAGGTATTTTTGCAAAAATTGAGGCCTATCTGTAGCTTTGACCCCGCTGGTAAAGCATCTATATTTCTTAATAAATCAATCGTTTAGAGCACCGCAAGGTACTTAATAATTCCTACGATATTCATTCCCTTATTGAAGTAACAAGATTACGGTATATACCGTCTACTAACTAACTAAAAAGTGTGAAATAAAAAAGGTTAATTTAAAAAATCAAAAAACCCGACTGTTTTATTATACTTCAAATTAAAACTGAAAAGAAAAAAAACAAGTCCAGTAGTCTATAATTCTGTTAATAAGGAACAAAGCTACTTTAACAGTCGGGACCCATTATTGAAAAATATTATGCATTCTTGAATATCTAATGGGTCCTGACTGTTAAAGTAGCTTTGTTCCTTATTAACAGAATTATAGACTACTGGACTTGTTTTTTTTCTTTTCAGTTTTTATTTGAAGTATAATTAACCAGTCGGGTTTTTTGATTTTTTAAATTTACCTTTTTTTACCGATTGATTACTCATTTACTGACGATAAATAAGCCACATTAACGATTCACTGTATTATGCGGTCGTTCCATTGAATGCATTTAAACTGAAGAGAAAGGATTTTACGAGATTAATTTGGCTCGGAGGAGTGGATGCTAAAATATCAGGTATTATGCACGAGTCATCGCATTTACATAAGCTTCATTTGACGTTATCCTCCTGCCGTAGATGAAATTCTTATCCTTCACAATACAGCGCCGGACCTTCCCTTTATAGTATATTTGATATAATACTTCTCGATTCGACGGCACAAACTCTTTTGTCACACACAGATCCCACATTAAGTGGAGACATAAAAAAAAATACTGCACTTTATTATAAGGGTTCCGTACTTAAAGGGTAAAGACGGGTCCCTATTGCTGTCACTCTATCGTTTGTCTATCTGTCTGTACATTTTCTGTATTTGCTATTTAAATACAGCAAAATGGGATATCTAATACCAAAATTTCATATTCTTTACTAGTTTCGATTTTGAGATAGACCTTGTAACAAAAATGGTCTAGAAATTACAACTTTAAGGGTTATTGAATAAAATTTCTTTGTTATTGAATAAAAACAAATAAAATTATTTTGTATCCTAATTAAAAAAAATCTCGACAAAGTTGTGTCACATGCTGGGGTTAAAAAAAGGAAAAACATTCGTCTCCTTTTCGTTTATGTAAATTATATATTTCCCATAAAAATATTTAATTGAATTTTTAACTATATACTAGCTGTTTTGGACGGCATTCTACATAAAATATAAAATTACAGTTCTGTAACTCATTCACAGTGACTATTTGACGTAGGGATAATTACTCTTGTGTATAATGTGTAACTCTGGAACACCATCGTCATTATTTGTAGTTAAGGATAATTTTTGCTATACAAGTTTTAATAACGTGATACTGTGAAAGCTATCTTTGTTTTTTTTTTTGACAATACATCAAAAGGTCAGATGATAAGAGAGATAGATAGGGAGATAAGTGCATTAGGACAAATCAGAACGAACGTTGAAGGGGAAACAATTGTGTTTCAAACTAACAGCATACTGCATCTAAATAGCAACTCTCCATCCTTGAAGCTATATTTTCATTCCAGTGTTTTGAGGGACGAGGATTGAGGTCATTGTTTCAATGCAATAATGTAGTAATTTTTGAAGAAACACGATCTGAATATTTTGCTCTTCAATTCATGGATATGAATCACTATCATTACGAGATTCAATTTATTCGCTTCGGTGTAGAGCTGTAGTGTAGACTATAGTTTTTGTTCTTAGGCTTGTATTATGATTTTCTTCGTATAATTATAAACCTTCCGTGAAAATTAAATATAATTACTAATATCATAAAACTAGAGTTTGATTGTTTGTATTTTTTTTTGGTTGAACGCGCTAATCTCAGAAAATACTGGTCTGATTTGAAAAAATACTTTTGAGTTGGATAGTGCATTTATCGAGGAAGGCTATAGGTAAGGCATGTAAGATCACGTTAGGCCCAGTAGGAGCGGAGCATCAATCAAACATGTTGCAAAAACGGGTAAAATATTCCATTTGTGAGCTTCCGTTGTATGCACTAGATAGACAAACGGATAAAGCTGCACGAAAATGATGTATGCCGAAATTATTCCACTTATAAGTTTCTATGAAAAAGTCCGCGACAGCTTATGCCCATATTTTAAGTTTGACTAACCTTTTTCCTCAAATTAACGCGGGTGAAACCGCTGAGGAACTTTTGTCATACAACTGTAATAGATAGACATCTGGTATTGCGGACTTTTTTGTAGATATTGATATCCTTTATAAAACTTTAGTACATTACTTTGCTCTACTGTCAATGACTTCTGCAGCATAAGCGATATAGGGTTTTTTTTACGCACCCTGGGTTACGTTATCGTAGTTATCATACGAAACTTTAACTGAAAATACTCTATAGCCTCAAACAAACAATAAAATTTTTCCACTTTATATTATTAGTATAGATAAAAAATAGTCAAGTGCAAGTTAGACTCATACCCCTATCTATTCTCCTCCGAATGATCTTTTTGGCATGTAAATAATTCGTCAATTGGAATCGAATCACGAGCACTTTTCTTTTTTTTGTTACTTTATTTCAACATTATTTCCACAGGATTAATTTATAGGTTTCGATTTCCTGACGAGCGACAAAATATGCATCATAAAACGTATGTTATGCTTGCATTTAAGTGTTCTCTACTCTAAGGGATTGGAAACATGAGTCGTCATCATCATATCAGCAATACGTCCCCACTGCTGACCATAGGCTTCCTCCAAGGATCTCCACACCGATCGGTGATGCGTTATTCGCATGTAGCGCCGGTCATGCGTTATTCATATCCAGCGCCTTCCTGCAATCTTCATTAGGTGGTCGGTACACTTTCGTGGACCCACTGTGTATCGTCCGTTCGATAATCATTCCGCATCAACATGCAACGGTCTCCGCGCTACACGTTCTGCCCGTCCACTGTGACTTCAACAGAGCGATCATTCAAACTCTGTTACCGTGACCTTGAGCCTTCCTATGAGACTCGCAGTACACAACCACGATCCGCTTTTGTAGGTCATCTCACTATTGAATACACTGATTAAGACTGGTAATTTGCACGCGAAGATGTTCCGTAATTTCCTGAACGTTTCCCACCCGAGCAGGATTCGATAACAAATCTCATAAAGTTGAACTTACAACTGTCTATTTTTCGTAGACTTAGTAGTCAACCTGTTCAAACAGTGCTTGCGAGCAAACCCGCTACTACTACTTGGTTCACAAAGATCTTCGGGCATTGTGTTCAGGTTTTCAAATACCTGAAAATTTTATGCTAGTATTTGCCAGATACATTGTATTTCTGATGTGTCCACGTGTTCCTGAGAAAAAGGGTCTTGGCTATAGTTGTAAATCTACCGTAGTCTACCAAATTGACAGGTAGACTACCGCAATTAGGCTACGGTAGCAATTGTAGATAATTCAGTACTAGAAATTTTGGCCACTTTACTAGACTTAAAGCGGCTGCCATTTATTATTTGTCATAAATATTCATATTCATTTATTGCATTCTTGCTGTTTACATGCTGTAACAAAAAAATATATATATCATTCCAAACAAGAACCCAGTTAGGGTATTGCAATAATCCTAAACTAAATAAACAGTCATAATTATGAAACGTTCCAATATAGCAAATTTTCAATCCTGTATAACATATTGTAAACATAATTAAATTGTCCAAAATATAATGCAAATGTCAAAATTTTAAACTTAATACTAAGTTGGTAGATCTACAGTCATAATTATTAAACGTTCCAACATAACAAATTTTCAAACAACCATTTAAAAAATAATTCAATTGTCCAAAATGTAATGCAAGTGTCAAAATTTAAAACTTTATACTAAATAGATAGATATACAGTCATAATTATAAAACGTTCCAACATAACAAATTTTCAATCTTGTATAACATATTTTAAAAAATAATTCAATTGTTCGAAATATAGTGCAAATGTCAAAAATTTTAAACTTTTCACTAAAATATTCATTAATTGTATAAAATGTCTTACATAGTAAAAAATTCTCTAGTGCAGGCTCAAACTTTTTACCCTGGAGGGTCTTTAAGGAATTAGGCAAATTATTATATACTTTAATTGCCATGTAGTAGGCGCTATTTTGAAAGACCGTGAGATTCGGTGTGAGCAAGACGAGATCGTTTAATAAGCTAAGAGAGCTTCAGCAAGAAAGTTTAAAGTCAACATAACGTGAAAACTGACCATTTGACATACACTATCTATAAAAGGTTGTTTATAATTTGATTTCTTACATAAACCACGGTATAAAGCTGTAGACCGTGGCAGTGGCAGGCCAGTACCATTTACACCTATAGTCTTGACACTTGGATAACCTGCGGTGACAAGCGCTTTTTCACCACTCTTTTAACATAAAAACTGGTGATCAACATACGTTGTGTGTGTGTGTGTGTGTGCAGGAACCTGTCATCGAATCGCCTGGAATCGGTGTCGGCAGGCGCGCTGGCCGGCGTCCCGCTGGCGCGCCTATGGCTGGACCGCTGCGCGCTGCGCCGCCTGCCCGCGCACGCGCTGCGCGACCTGCGGCACCTACACTACCTGTACGTATGCTATGCACTCAACATAGCAGCCCAACACACTGATCGGGCCTGCGCCTGCCAAGAAGACCAATTCTTGATTGAATGCGACTGCATGGATTATATTGTGTCAAAACTTACCAAAGGCAGTTATTATATAAATTTCGCGAGCACATAGTCGTCACACATACATCCCTCTAATGCCAGCAGGACACATAACGGTCAATGTCATCATATAAAACGTTGCGAAGGAGAAAAACACCAAAAACACAATTAAAACAAATTTGGAGAAGTCAACACAGTAATGTTATTTTGTAGTAACTCCAAAGTTTACAACAAAGGAATTAGTTTAATGGGTTCTTAATAACAATGAAAATTACACCAAATACAGTTAATATAGCTCAGAACAAACAAATGCCTGTAGCAAAATCTTGACTCACTCAAAAGCGAAGGAAAACGTTTAGCTGCGACATCACGTAGCGTTTTCGATACCGAATAAAGTTTCATTAAATCCTTATTTAATTTAGCACAAATTTACGATGAGCCGTCGCCTCGGCGACAGAGGTCAACAGTCCGGTCGCGATCCGCCGACCACGCCGGTTTGTGTGCACTCGCCAGATTTCTGTTCCTCTGAATTCTCAGCATCAGATTTTCCTTGCTCCGGCTCTCGAAGCGTCCCACCCTCAAAAGGGGGAAAACCGATAGAGTCGCTCATACATAATTCATTTAGTTGACGCACGGACATAGTTGGTCCGCACAATCCCCGATATTAGTTGCCTGTAAATCACTGTCGCTTTCCCCTCTTCGGAGTACAAATATAATGAGGGTATAATTTGCCCGAATAATCCAAATAAATTCGCCTCAAATAATGGTTATGCTTAAAGCCGAGTGCCTCGGGGTTTACGCGATTTTTCTTGAAAAAAGTCCGCACCCTCGGTTTGTTCGTGGCTCGTAGCGAAGAGTTGGTCTCGGTGTTTCAGTCCGGGCAATCGAAATTCCGAGCCGACAGCGAGCCGCCACTAATCACCGCCGCCGACGAAACAGATTCCTGGCCTACGTCTTGCTATCTGACTTTCTGTTTAGGGGGACTTTGTCATTAATCTAGACTAGGAATTAGACCAGTAAATATTGTGAATGCTTGTCTAGTAAACTCTCTGTCAACAAACTTGAGTTTATTTAAAAGAATAAATGTACCCTTGTACACTATAGTAGATCTATGGAAAACACAAAAGCGCATAAACTGAGATACGTGTTTGCTAATAAACACTTGTAGCTTACTCTTATTTAGCCTGCTACAAGTCGTCCTCAGACATCATATATCACTTGCTCGCTGCGAATACGCAGTCAGCTTATAGGTAATTTCCGTTTAAATTGTTTCTATTGATAGTGCAATTCGTCACATAGCGCCACAATCGCGTGCGATAACATGCCGTGAGAACTGGGAACTGTACACTGTTATCGCCTGGATTTCCGTGAGTCTCTTCCACTCCCGCGCCCCTGAACACTCGTGACGTGAAGAGTCAGGGAACAGCGGATTTCCCGCTCGAATTGGAGCGCCCCTCTGAGTCCAAAGTCAACAGCGCCTATGTTCTGGTTATGACACATGTGCTACCGACTGTATGCCACGTAAACTTCAATGCCTCCACTATTACAAAAGTTGTTATTCCATCTCGTACATTGGTAACTTTATTCCATCTCGCGAGTTGGTAACTTTAAACGAGTTTACCTAGAAACTAGTTCAGCTAAACCAACATAGCCCCCGCGAAACATTAATAAATAAACTGCCGAAATCACATCTACCTAAATAGTGCGGAAAACCACAAACGGGAATTCATAAGATGTCATTATTTAAATGTCTTGATACATAGTTTTGTTGTTTCTGTAAATAAATCTCGTCCCCTTTGTATTAGAGGAATAATAATAAATAACATCGGTACATTTGGTAAAGGGATAGTAAACAGAATTCGCATGTCAGCCGCCGAGTGACGGTAAACAACCCGGACCAGACCCCCTCCCCCCCACCTGCCCGCTCCGCTTCGAGCGTATTCTCTTACTCCTACTTTTCAAATTAAGTAATGCAAAGTCGATATTCCAACAAAGAATTTGTTTTAGAACACCGATAGTGCCTGCAAAAAGTCTCGTCTCTGAAACGCTGCGAATACAATGAATGAATTAAAGCTCCGTGAACACTTCTCAAAACAAACTGTAATTACCAACTATAAGTTTACTTGAAACTTGCATTGAAAGTTAGTGGTTTGACGATTTTCTGCTTCGAGAAAACTAATGATTTTAACTATCTTTCATGTAGTTAGTTTTGCGATCAAAGTTTTTTGCAATTTCAATCGACGTATTAGATATAAAAAAGAGTGAAAGGAGATTGCTCAAATTGGCCCAAATGTACAAAAAATATTGACATATACGATAATTCTTGGCGTAATTTATACTTTATTTAACAATCATTAGATTTTAACGGACACCTTTGTATAATATATTCATTTTTAAAATGACTTTTAATTTTACCGGATTGGAAAACATACGAATCATTTTTAATGGCTATGGGTGCAGTAACATTCATCTAGAGACTGATCGAAGTTGTTTATATATAACATCAAAATAAATTAATTTTGTAAAGTTGTTAGTTGTTGTTATGTTTTTCACTACACGCAAATGTGCTAAGTCAATTATTATAGATGGTAAGTGACATCATTTTTTTTTATATATTGTCCGACAAATGTCTCCACCCCACCTGATGTTAAGTGAAGGTGAAGTCCAGACGTGAAGATAGCTGATACAGCAGTTCTACCTGCCACACCAGCCCTCCTCACCCTGCCAGCCTGCATGTTGCTTCTTCACGCCTCTTAAATAAAGTCTATTGCCATATATTTTTCGCACCTCATAAACACATTATAAGTTGTGATACACTTTAGTGTTTTTTTGTGATGTTTTAGACCATGTTTTTTAGATTTTTAAATCTAAAACATGGTTATAATATAAACATAACAAAAATAATGAAGCTACTGAAGATATGGCTGTATAACCTAAATCTCTTAGCATTCTTTGGTTAACCAGAGTTTGAAAATTCTCTCTAATCTGTGGCTCATTCACAATCATCACACAGTTGTCATAAAGTACCTTATTAAACTGTAAATGCATAGATGATACCTGATTTTTAAAGTTACTCTTGTGCATTAACTTTAAAAACAGGCAACTATCTGTTAATCTACATGCTCTATATACCTGAATCTAATACATAATTTCGGTACTTGGCTTGATTTCCCTAGTTTACTATATAACTTATTTGTTTTTTATTATTTTAATACCTATGGACCTATTTGCAAACATAACCTCAAAATCATTCAGTGTATATGGTTTATAGAAGTTCTCAGGGGTGTCCGTCAATAATATTCATTTCTAAAGTAATTTATATATAATTTCCAAGCGTTACATGCGTTGCTGCAATCACAGCATAACGTAATCGTCGATAACATAGTAAAGTAACTTTGAATTTCCTTTGTTTTCCTTCGATCTAAGACAACTCGTACGATGTTGATTATGCTCAGTATTGCTCAGTGGGCAGACTGGCCACGTTTTAATAAGTACTGACGTGTGCCTAGGGGGTATGGGTGTGAATGAAGGGGTCGTGGGGCGGCCGGGGAGAAGGAGGTGAGGCCAGTCATCGAGTGCATCGAGAGCGTCTGCCGGCCACGCCGCCGGCTATCGATCCAGCCGCAGCATCGCATCGCGATCACGCCAAACAACCACATTTCCCACTGACATCCGTCATACTGAGCGATATTGGTTCAGACGTCGGATTTTTTATTTATGCCGAACGTGTACGCCACCACGTGCTTATCTCAAAATGTGTGTGGGCAATAACATCACGTAATAACGTAGATGAAAGCTCCGCGCGCGGCGTGACGCGGAGTGCCGCGGCGCTGTGTACGCACGCATCAAGTCAGTCCGATAACGACATATCATATCATACATTTGTATAATTGCAACGTCTCTCTCACTTTTTGTCCGGAATCCCTCTATACTAATGCTACTAATATTAAAAAAATGTTTTAATGATTGTTACTGATTCGGGCAAAAGTACACGAAAATGTATTAGGTTCCAGTAGGATTCTCAAACCACGAGATACCAGGCTTATTAATACGAGGTTTTTATTTAATGTTAATCGTCACCAAACTAGCACTAAGCACAGAGTAACAGTCTGATTAATGATATAAGTTAATACCATACTAACATATTTATATTTAAATTACAATGGCTTAAAACTAATTATTGTCTAAAAATTTAAAAAGAACTTAAATAATACACAACCTACAACAAAAAAAAGTAAACTTATTCCACAAAAAAAAAGGTACCAGACTAATATCATAAATTAGACTGTTAGTATATATGCTTCTCTTAATTTTTGTCTTTTTGGATGAATCGCTGAAAAGAATAGAGGCGACCTAGCAAAACACAAAGGCTATATATATATATTGTCGCAAAAATAAAACATGAAGGGGTGGAATATGGGTGAAAATATTTGTTCAAAGTTGCAGGCGACCGCTAGTACCTGTGAAAGTTTCAATGTCTGTTACTCGATCACGCGAAAAACAATCGAATGAATTTGGACGGAATCTGGCACAGTATTTATCACCTGGGTATGTATGGGCTGGGTATGTATCGGATGCTTTTCATGCTAGAAAAAAAATCTTTTCTTGTGGTATCGTCAAAATACGAACTGGAGTACTTATTTACAGTGTGTAGTTATGTAGATATTGCCTCACGGGTAAATTTTCTAAAGTTTTAAAGACACAACTGTATTTTATTATTGATGATGTTTGTACAGGAAATCAATTATTATTTTACGAAGATAAAGTCTCGTACTCGAACACTCGCTTATTGATATTACATTTTGACTTTAGTGAGATAACATGCGACCAAGTTATCGAGAACTACTTCACTGGAATACATAACATGAATATTATCTACTTGAATCACAGTTGTATCGAGTGGAGATGACGAGGTGTGTCCGTTATTGCGAAATATCGGTTGTTGTAGTACGTTCATATTCGCAAATATGGCGGTAGGTACTGGTGGGACCGGTGAACCGGCTCACAAAACAAATAGGTACAGAAGTCAAACTACTTGTACTTACTATATAGTATAAGTGAAGTATATACTTCACCTTTAATGCCTGCGCTCGAAACGGCCGCGCCAGGATTGTCAAATTTAGTTTATGTACAAAAAACTATAGTGGTTGTAGGTCTCGAATCAAGTTGTTTGATTTATTTTTGAGAAAGAAACAGGAAGAAAAAAATATACATATAAACCAATTATAAAAATATTTCAATGCTAATTTTTTTGTTAAACACAAACACGACAATCCATCGTTCAGTATTGAACGGTAACAACTGTCCACTGATCGCTTGTAATAAATATTTTTGTTCCAGTTTTGCACAAAAAAGTGTAACTGTGGTGCCACCCAAACGAACCAAGCTATCGTGTCTGTGCACGTTGCTTCAGCACACTTTGTATGAACATTGACTTCTGTACGTGCCTGTTTAGCGGGCGGGCCGCGCGCCCGAGCTCCTGCTCAAGGCCGCCCGCGCCGGCTCAGAGCGACTCCACCAACAATCACGTCACAAATTAATAACTGTTGGTGTGGAGTACCGTTAGATACTACGATATCATTCATCTTTGTAAAAGTTATCTTTAATGTAATAGGTTTGTTGGTACCTAATAAACGTAAAAATAAAATCTCATCATATTACTAAGGCTTTATAAGAAAACTTTAACATATTAATTTTATAATTACGGAACTCTCCTCAGTAATTTTAAATTCAAAGAGAATTACTTAGTTGTTAATGCGTGCTTAATGTGTCCTTCGAGAACACTCAATCGAGATCGAAAATGTCGTTTATTAAATGTATGTAGTTAAGTTAACCAGCGCATGTGGAAGTGGAAAAGCTGGTTACGCCATCAGTTCATAAATCAAGGAAAACGGGGGAAAATCAATTAGTCTGGGGGCGATCCATCTCCATAAAGACGACACATCAACACATGTGCCAGACATCGCTTTGCTCAACAGTATTTTAGGGAACTTTATGACCCTTCTCCATGATACACAACTTCCACATTTTATAAGGGAAATATTAATTTATAAAAAGCCTAGACTTACAAAGCTCTGTTGAATAGTCCAATATTTTTTCCTATCATCCATTCAGAACATCTTTTAGCTGTCGAAAAGAATAGGCGTAAGGAACTCTTCAGCATTTAACAGAAGTAGGAATATTTAATAGGTAAAAGATAACATTCCGATAGTCAGCAGTATCGAGCAGTTTCAACTCCGCTGGTATCACCCGTTCACTAACATGACGCATAAACCAGCTATGGCTTCGCTCAGCCATATTTAATGGAACGTAACGACCCGCCTCACACGACACCAACTAAGAGATTTTTAAGGGAGCATGAGCTAGCTACCCATAACCACCTATGGTGTGTAAATGTTGAAAGAGCGTGGCCGAAAGAATAGCCGATTCCATGCTCTCACATAAAACCATGGACATTCTTAAGAAGACAGTACAGCTGGTTGTAACATCATAAACACTTTTTGAGCGGGAATAAGTATTTATATTCGTATTTACATTATTCTTGACGTTCGGATCCTTTACACGCTCGATGGTCGCAATGTGTGCCGTGATAAGAAATAAATAAGTTGATTATGATCAGCGGTTAATAAAGCTAGTGTTGGCTCGGGTAGGATGTATGCAATTCGCGGCAATGAGGCGTGCAACCGTGCGAGAGACGCGTTGGAAGCTTTCGCGCGCCACTTGCGAAACATATTCGCGAAGAGCATCACTCACTGACTAGTTGTTTCGCAACGTCGTCGTCGGCCGATTTGGCCGAAGCTCGCGGCTGCGACAATGTTAATATCACAACTGGCGAGGTCACGCCCCGGTCGCGCGCCGACGTCACATGTTGTTCCGCGCGAGAGCCTTCGGATGAATACCTCATTCGGCGGAGTGTTCAAGCTTTGCATTCCAATTTCAAGTCACGTAGCGAACGCGTTAAATGGAGGATCGATCCGCCATTACTGGCTATCTGCTAACGACTGTCTGTACCTGGATTTGCAAGAGGCACTCAGATAAATGAAACGCCCTGCGAGCGTTTTCCAATTCACACTCACTGCCTGTTAACTTTACGCACCATTGAAGATACAAAGTATATATCTTATCCAATCCAATAATTACGCTTCGTTAAAAAATGCAATTAAATAAAAATGTGCATAAGATAATAATTACCCATATCAATTTCAGTTAAACCTCAATAACTTAATGTAGTGACTGTGTTAATCATACATATATGCTCGCTGTATACTTTTAGGAAAAGATAAATGGATTGTAAGAAAAGAGCCGAAAGTTGCTGTTAGAGTGACTAAATGAAGGAAGGAAATATTTATGTATTCTTAGAAGTCGGGGTGAAATTTATCAATTTCAAATGACTCAAAAAAAGAAATGTGCTTTACGTGTTCTGAATAAAAAGCCCGCGCAGACGAGGGTCTTTTCACCCCGAAGAATGCAAAATCCCCGAAGCGTGGAAAATAATGTTGTGTGTGCATTAGTAGATGTGATCTGGCGACGCCCGCACTCAGAGACGTCAATGCCTTCTTATTTATTAAGTCACGCGTTGTCTTGTTCAGCTGCTATCGGAAAGAAAGTAGTATCTAGCATTAACATTAATTAATGATTCCCTGAATGTAGGCGATCCATTTAACAATATTAAAGTTTTCCAAGGACTGTTACTTGTACTAAAGGGGCGTACCTATTCTTAAAATCGAAATTCGATGATGATAACGATACATTAATTTTAAGGCCCGTATTAAAAGATCACTCTCAACTCTGGCAGCGCTCTTGAGTACGATCTAGAGATGCAGTTTTGTGTAGAAACGGTATCTCAAGATCGTAGTCTCGGTGTTGAGAGCCATCTTTTAATACGGGCCTAAAAGTTGGTTGGTTCCTTGATTCTTGAGGATGGAATGTGTTGTTATGACTCGAGGTGCGTGTGTGCAGGTCTGCGGAGGACAACTACCTTTCGGAAGTGGAGGAGGGGGCGCTGAGCGGCGCGCGCGCGCTGCGGACGCTGCGGCTGGCGCGCAACACGCTGCGGCACCTGCCTGCGCACGCGCTCGCGCCGCTGCACCGGCTACAAGCGCTGTCAGTACCGCCTCATACTTATCATACACCCCTTAATGCTATATATACATAACACCCTACACTCCATACATACATACACACCACCCTCCACTCCATACATACGCGTATGCCACTCTACACTCCTCACACGCTCGATTCAAACTATGAAGTAAGCGCAAGTCACTGCGCACTTGCGCAGTAAACCTAATTATATTAATATATGCGTGCGAGATGTCACTGAACTGAAACTGTACATCCAACATAAACATGATGACCATGGTCATCTTGGATATAGGTTTCAGTCAGTTCAGTTGCGTTTACTTGCTAACTTTACAACCGCCATAAAGTTTGAATTGCATAACACATTGACTATGCCGTACACTAGCTATCAAGGTTGGCAGAGCATCATATCATCATTAAAGTAGCGTTTACATAATGATTCCAATAAAACGTACAATCCTATTAACCGTTTGATTATATTCATGCTGGAAAAGGATCTAATGAGGAGGAAAAAAATCGTAAAAATCCGTATTATACTATTATTTTATTTGTATACTATTTTCGAAATCAATACAAAGTTCAGTTAATGTCACTAAAAAAATGAATGTGATACAAACAACGATATTAATACAAAACAAAATAAATCACACGCGCGCGGCTACAACAGAATTACATAATTCCAACATAAATTCACTGTACGGGTCACTCCCGCAGCACCATCATATATTTCATGTTGTTCTCTTCTAAATTTACCATTGAGTGTATCTCAAATAAATGTTTGTTTACAAGATCATCAATTAAAGTGAGTAAAAATCTGAAGAAAAAGTTTGCTTCGATGAAAATACGAGTAAAATCTATCGATACGCTTGATGTAAATGCTTATAAGGCGATATCTTGTCGAAACTTTATGGGCAAAAGGCAAAAACTCTGTTAGGGTAAGCGAGCGAACAAATTACTTTAAGGCCAACTCAGCATCTCCCTGGCTGACCGCACTGCCTATTACCGGCCTATTCATCCACCAACTTTAGGGCAAAAAGTTGATGGAATACTCGTGTGTACGTAACGCTCATGCAAGGCTATCAATAGTATGCATTGACAGTATTTAAAGTATTAAGCAAATAAGTAATAGTTGAATGGAGGTCAAATATTTGCGTAGTGTGCGCGTGATCGATCACCGGCTCCGCTGCGTCGCGCGTCGTCCGGCCGGTCGCCTTGGGACTCGTTACGCAATGAGCTTTCGAAGCTTTGTAAGCTGTCTGTTAGTGCGTTGTCACCTGTCAAGTGTCCTATCTAAGTTCATAAACACAAGTTTACCAATAGCGCGAGAGTGGCGCGCCGCGCGACTTGTATTAACAAATTAACTCTAGACAGTTCAGTTGACCCACTTCACTGGTCTTCTTGTAAAATGTCGCCGCTGTTATGTCCCGTACAAGGAACGACCGCTTGTGCCAAAGCCTTCTCAAAACTGCACTCCACACATGGCATACGGCGGGTAATCAACTTGGAAAAACTTAGGAGCTGAAATTGAAAAATTATTTTTAAAACTAAGATAATTAGTCCCGAGCGCAATTATTTCATTCGTCTTCGTATTTCCTTAATTTCAACCGTCGTGTCGTACCTATTTACAACAAAAATAAATAGGTACGACCACTATATTTAACACGTTACTGTTTGTATCTATAAATGTAATAATATTAATGGAAATAGCACAGGTGTATTAATAAACTTAATTACTTTATCACGGGGGCGACGCGAGTGTTGTCCTAATTTTATATTTTTCCACATCACCGAGGCTATTCCTGCTTGTGCCGACACGCTGAGATAAATCATGGGAAAATTGCAAATATATTTCATAACAGGTACACCGCTCTCGATATAAGCTACAATTAATTATACCAGTGAATAAGCGGGAGGTGTAGCTGTAGAGATGATATATAAAGAGATATTGGAAAACACTTATTCTGAGGGCACATTTGTTCGGCGCGCTCGCGACACGCGACGCTTTTTCTGCTGATTTTTACGACACGCAGTAAACTTTTCTTTATTTCCCTTACTGATTTTTCGCAAGGTGGGTAAAAGATCGCGTATATATATGTTAATATCTTCATAACTAAATGGCTGACTCCTATGAGATATGATAAATTGAACCTTAAGGCACGCAGGAAGCGTGCGAGTGTGAAAAAGATATAAATGCGTAACAAGATTATTCTGATTTTTCAAACATTAGGGAAGCGAGGGATCTAATATATACGTGTCTAATATAATAAAAACGGGTGTGCTTATGACCACACGACGACACGACATATATATATATATATATATATATATATATATATATATGTGTGTGTACAATATATTCATGTATGTACATATATATACATATTTCATTTACTACCTATAAGAGAAAGAGAGAAATAAAATGTGCGCGCGCTGCCTTCTCTTGCTTATATCCCCCATTCACTCCCGTTCATACACTTTTTGTAACGCGTAACGCATTCGCCAGCTTTTCCCCCTAGACAAGCGTGCGTAAAGAATTTTCACTTCAATGATTGTATCTACAAAACAAATGAAAGTTTTGATAATTAAGTAATAACTTGTTTTCATACAAGACCCGTCTTTCAAGATGCCATAATCATGTTTCCAAGTATGAATATACTTGATAGTCATAACATTTGATGTAAGTAGTAGTTTTAACATTTTGAGAATATTTTTTATTAATTTAAGGCAATCTGAATCTAATTTTACAGATAATTGGAAATCTATTCTAATAGGTATTTTATCTTTCACCAGAATAATATAATACCTAGTCAGGTCATAAATTCTGTCACATGTTTAATATAAAATAATTGACACAAGTTTATTCATATGTAACCATTTATATACCAAAATGAAATATCGGGAAATTCTTTCAACAAAGCACGGCATCTCTTCAGTCTCAGGTCCATTAGACGAGCATTCAAACGATGTCCTATTTTTCTTCGATATTCCCGAAGCTCTAAGTCTTCATTTAGCACCCTTTTCACCGTGGTTCTGCTTAACCCCATCTGAAGGGCCAACGGTTTCTGCTTACGTTTGGGATTTCTTTGAATTCCCGCCTTCATAGCTTTTATCACTGCTGGAGTCCTAACAGACCGAGGGCGATCACTTTTTGACCTGTCATCTACACTAGAGTATGCATTGTATCGTTTGATGGTACAATAAACTATTTTTTTGGTTTTGAATATATCAAATTTTTCAGTATGTCAAAAATTTGAATTGGGTAACCGCAACGATGCAACGCAATAACTGTAACACGGTCTTTTTTAAGCGTCCACTCCATATTCCAAAATGAGTAACATTCTAAAAAGTTTACTTTTTTATTTCATGAACAATTCAAAATTCGAATCCAATAAACTGTTTTGTGGCCAGCATTCTGAAAGAAAAGTTTTTATTGTGTGACAATACTTATGACCCGACTGTGTATAATAATAATAAGCATTTACAAAAAAAATGACAAAACATAGACTCAATGTATAACTACTTATTATTCTATGGATAAAATTTATTTTACGTAGGTATATCTAATTTTCGAGAAGGAAATCGTCGAGAGGAAATAAACATTGAATTTTGCAATTTTAATACGTACTTTCAACGGTAACTATAAATTTTTCAAAGGCCTATTACACAGATATTTCTCTTAAGCTTGAAGCTCTTCAAGCTTAAAGCGCTGAACCGATTTACATAAAATTTGGTATGGAGGTAGTTTGAGACCGGAAGAAGTACATAGGAGTTTATATTCCAGAAATCGTTATTTTAGCAGGTGAAAAAGGCGGGTAACGCGGAAGAATACCAAAACGGGGACCCCGCGGCTTCCGCGGCGGTTAAGTGTGCTCGTAAATAGCGCGGGTTACTTTCAGGGTTAGCCCCATCGTGCCCGTGACGTTTGCGGGTGCAGGGTGTGAGGTCCAAAGGCGCCGTCGTCTGTAAACAGAGGTTTTGCCTGCGTTACAAAAAAAACAGTTAAAAAGACGGGTGAAGCTTTGTATGGGAAACTCATTAAACTACGCAGACGAAGTCGCGGGCACCCACTAGTATATTGTCATTTATTTTTCAGTGACAAAAAAATATATTTTATAAAGTATTTTTTATTAATATATTTAATGCAATTGCACTCGAAATCTTAATAAACAGATGAGCTATTACGGAATTGTTTATGTAATTTGTTAACACATTTTAGCGGCACACGGGCGCCACCGTTCGCCGGGAACATGCGTATGCGCGCGGGAAATGAAATGAGAGCACACGGGTTATTCCAGCGCGCCTTTGATGTGGCGCCAAATATGTTGTCTATTATATATTTTAATCGCACGTGTTATTTATGTGTCTTGGCTTTGAGGGAGCGCCTAATAAAACCTTTCCGAGTAGTAGCGGTGGCGTGGAAGAGAGCTAGCAGCCGTCGTGTCGGCAAACAATACGTGCGGATAACATCTGCCGCTCGAGCGTGCCGCCTTCACCCGTCATAATGTTTACCGATAAATGTAATACTAACACAACATGGAGATACTCGCAAACACGACTCCTTTTGCTTTAACATATTAAGTTAACCATTAAAAGATTGGTTGAGTGAAGAAGAAATTTTTTAATACAAAAACATTTTGCTCGTCGCTTTACTTACTTTGTGCGACTAGATTTAAGCACAGTTTGTTTCGTGAAATCAGACGAGTTTGCAAAGCAGAATGCCTTAAATAAAACAAGTTTCAACGGGTTAGATGCAAAGGCTTTATTTATTTATTGACGTTTCAATGCCTTGTTCAGAATGTCTTGTTCGTGTCCGTAGCCAAGATAGATTTTGACAGCGGGTTTATTCCATACAATGTTGTCTGTGGTTTTCACAATGAAGGCTCACTTACCTAATTATATACTGGTATTAAGATCTAGCTTTAGTAGAGAGATATATTTCTTTTTATAGGGGGCGAGAAAAGAAAGTCTATTAAATTACGTTTCTTGTAAAAAAAACATATTTTATTTTTATTATAATTGTCTTTACAGTGGCAAAAGAATTACACATTGTCTATCTATTATGGACCTATTGCAGTTTTTGAAAGATAAATCCCATTGACAAACAGACGGACGTTTGGCGAAGTATATCTATTATTATTATTAATTTTAGGATTCCTTCAAGGTACACAAAGGCAGCCAACTTTTTGCTTAGTTTGTTAAAGGTCGTAGGAATTAAGGAAAATTTCTGTAAATCGCTTTGAAACAAGGCCACACCAAGTCGGGCAGTAAGCTCTGAATAATGCAAAGAGGAGATGAGAGCTTAGAAAATTCTTCCAAACCCATTATATCCACTAGGCATCCTTTGCCATGATAGGCATAGTAGGTTGTCCTCATCCTTATCTGGCACATTGCTGCTCCATTTCACATGGCGAGGGGCAGTAATGAACGACCTACCAATTATCTCGCCGAATCGTACTAGCAAAGATAATAATATTAAGGGGTATCTATACATTCAGAAACGAGTTAAATTTGCGTTTTTTTTTTCAATTAAAAATATCTAAGATAGATATTTCGGTCTACTTCTCTCATGCAAGGATGGGAGGAAAGAAAACATAGAATACGCTAACTGCCAAATTTCCCGATAAAGTCCACGTATGGATAACGTTACAATTATTGCTTCCGGAAAAAATGACGCCACTTCTTCCATACTAATATTATAAAAAGGAAAGATTTGATTGTTTGTCTGTATAGAATAGGCTCCGAAAATACTGGACCGATTTGAAAAATTCTTTCACTTTAGAATCCTTCATTATCCCTGATGAACATAAGCTATAGAGTATTTCCAAAAAGTTAGAGTTCCGTATGAAAACTTCGATAACGTAACCCGGGTGTGAATAAAATACCATAAAATACCCTTATATCGCTTACGCTGCGGAAGTCATTGACTACTAAAGTTTTATAGAGGACATCAGAATCTACAAAAAAGTCCGCAATACCATATGTCTAATTTTTAAGTTATGTCACAACTAAAGATCCCCTATGGTTTCATACGCGGTAATTTGAGGCAAAAGGTTATAGTGAGCTTAAGTTCTGCTTAAGAGGGGTATATGCTGTCGCGGACTTTTTTATAGAACTTTTAAAGGGGAACAATTCCGCCATACACGATTTTTATGTTACTTTATTCATTAACGCAGCGCACGCAATTGAAGCTAACTAATGGTATATTTTTACCCGTTTTTGCAACATTTTACATCGACAATCCATTCTTGATGGTCGCAGCGTGATGTTATTTAGCCTTAATACTTCCTCAATAAATGCACTATCTAAATCAAAAAGGTTTTTTCAAATTCTTTAGTTAGTTCTTGAGATTTCTGCGTTCTACCAAAAAAATGGTGCATTCGACACAACGGATCCTAAATACGCAACAAAATGTTCACTATCAGTTAAATAAATTTTCATGGATAGTTTATATATAGACTAAAGACAACACAAGACATAACACAAGCCTTATAGTGTTATGGGATACTAGGGTAACGAATAGAATACATATACTGTACATATATATAAGTATATTTATATAGAAATAAATATTAAACATCCATGACTGGAGTACAAATGCTCGTATTCATCACGCAAACATCTGCCCCCACCGGGATTCGAACCCGGGACCTATCAAGTCAGCGAAACCATGAAACACGGCGTACAAACTACTAGGCCCGGAGGTCGTCGTAAAGAAATTCATTGTGTATGATACAAGCCTGAGAACAAAAATTATAGCCTTCATACACTACAGCTCTATACCGAAGCGAAGCGAAGGCGGGCCACTAGTTGTCATATTTTTTTCACTGGCTGGCGCCCACGACTTCGTCCGCACTAACTTTGATTTTTGGAGAATCCCACAGAAACCTAAATTTTTTCCAGAATAAAAAGTATCCTATGTCTCAATCCAGGTCATATCCGCTTAGTGGTTTTTACATATTTGAGTAACAAACATACAGACGTTCACATATATAATGTTGATAGGATAGTATCGCATCTTTTATACTCTGCCAATCTCGCATTATCATATGGTTATTCTACCTACTGCATGAAAAGTATGACAGACTCTACATTTTTAACTTATTTCTTAATATATTTTTTTTTATTATTTGAAGCTGATTGATTGATGGAGTGTGTCTATGATGTACAGGGACCTATCTGGAAACCTGATCAGCGAGATATCTGCCACCAGCCTGCCGCCCCTCGCCGCGCTGCACACACTGTGAGTACACACAAATACATATTTACACACAGTTCACACAAATTATGACCTATTACTACTTATTCATATTTTGTTTATATTGTTTTGGTTCAAAACCCAAAAACGAGATGCTTTCCATTTAGTAAAAAGCTTTTTCAATCTCAAAGTGGTTCTGACTGGAGCTAAACAAACATCCGCCTAATTGTAGGACACCAATACATCTAATATGAAGTATATCGCAATTTTTAAGTGAATCTTTAATTACATCTCCACAATTTTTTCGTTTCTTTTTAGCATTAGCAATACATTTAAAATTGTTATTTAAAAATTCAGACCTTTTCAACAAGCATCGTTAGTTCAGTGATAGAAAGCTCGCTTACAGCGCGGGCGGCCAGTATTCGATTCCCGTCCGAAAAAGTAGTTTTTTTTTTAAATTGGAAGGTTTCGTAAAACAGCACCTTTTTTAGTATAATACCAATGACTCATTATGCTCATATTTTTAAATTGCGCGTGTGTAATAGTGCTCGTTTACAAAGTTATTGAGCGTTTGTATGTACGCGCTTTAGTATTAGCGCGTCCAAGGACCTTTGGTGAGACAGATACAGATCGATAAAAAGTAGTGCGCGAGCGACGCGGACACGTCACGCGCCAAACTAGACCCGCGCGAAGGCAAACCGGCCGCCAGCGCCTGCGCACGCGCATCACGCTACCATACCGCGACCATGCCCACCGACCCTCCAGCTTACAATAACTGAATAGTAGTAGTGGCGCCTCTATAGTATTACTACACACGGATTAGATAAAAAACTGCTAGTACCTGTACCACATAAGAAAAATAATCTGTATTGAACGCCCATTGGAAAAATTAATCGTCATTTCTTAGACTCAGACTGGTTCCTACATATGTATTAACTTTAGATGTACAATCATAAAAAATCCTTCAACTCAGTTCATCATCATTCTATATAGAACATTAATAAGGACGTATCTGTTTTTATTGTTTGATCCTTATGAACCTTTTACCATAAAGATATAACTTATGTATGGACACATTTTTATTCACAATAATCATTCTAGCCTTCTGCTTTTCCTGAGGTATCAGTTTTCATGTGTGCTAAAGTAGAAACAACATTCTGAGAACGAGCTAGCCCCATGTCATACGTGTGTCAGTCTGCCATGAATGCAATCGGATCCGCGATCGGTGGGCGTCGGAAGGCGCTTCCTTCCGCGGATCGGAAGGGCATCGACGCGGCGCCGGCGTTCCGCCGCATCAGCATGCGAGTGACGCACCACACTGCACCGCGGCACAACGAGGAAAACGTTACGCACAAACAAAACACGCACCGACATCTGACCAAAACGAGATGTGGAAAATTGCGAAGGTCACGGAATCGACCTTCGTCGCATTGAATGTCGACGGCAGATAGCCGCCGCGCCGCTAGAACCTGATTTATGAGCAACCGCTTTATCGTCCGGAGACAGCCGACGCACGCTCCGGGAATCCAAAAAAGAAAACCCTCCGAATGAATATCCTGAGGGCATCGCTTCACAATAGTCGCCGCCACTCCCAACTGCTAGGGACGGCTGGACGCAGCACTTTTTATTAACCCTTGGACGAACCTTAGAATTATTTGTAAGGGACGAACCTTCACGAGATTTTTTTATCTACCAAATCATACTACTTTAGAACGAAGTCCGTTGCCGCGTCGGTCTGTCTAAGCATTTGTGATGATCTCAGGAACTACTGAACGGCTTTTCATGCGGCTTTCACCGACTTATACATTTTCACGGAAGTATTATTACATATGTATAATACAAACCTGAGAACAAAAGTCAATAATAAAATTGATATACAAGAAACTTAAGGATATATTACCTACACGCCGGGATCATTGGGCTCATTAATAATCGCGAAGATCGTCTTAAGGGGTTTGCCAAAAATATTATGAATTTAAATAAGAAGCCTAGTAGAGCCGCTTGCGTCTCATCTGTCATTAGGAAAAGGGAGCGAATATATTTTCCAGCCTAGATATCTCGTGACGTTTGCGAGAGTTATTACATACTTCCTGTCATGTCAAACACAACTCTTTCGCGAGCCGCCACCGTTCGCGTATTCATGCTAAACTAATCTCGCGATAATCTAGAGCAACACAAACATAACTGTAACTGCCAATTTACATTAAATATGTTGTTTATATTTTTCGTTTATTTTATTTTAATGCAATATTTTTCTCGTGTCCGTTCACCCGAACAACTCTTTGTTTTTTAATTATTTGTCTATTTCCTTGAAAACGAACACAATGTTTAACGTTTTTTGAGTACGCAAGCAACTTATGTTTACTAGACCAAACACTCGTCCTTGTTAACGGGCCGGATTCGAACCAACGTCCTTCCATATCTGAGAAAATGCGCTACCCATTATGCTATCGATATTTTAACGGGCGTGAAACTTTATTTCTAATATTATTAACTTCAAATCAGCTAAAATATAGCAGCACAAAGTTAATATAAAAATAATTGATAATTGTTCAAAAGCAACAACAACAGAACCATCACGTAACTAAAGACTCCTCAAACGAACGAGCTTAATTAAAAAATCACAGGAAATAAAGAAATACCATCAGAAGATGAAAGCCGAGATTTCCAGTAACTGAAAAATGGGAACGGACAGGTGGTAATTACTGCCTGTCTAGCCGATCAAAACTGAACAAAAAAATCGTAGAATTCAGTTTGCCCGCCGGTAACTAAAGAGATTAAAGGGTCTGATGGTACTAACAAAAAACTCACGTATTTGGATTGTTTGTTCGCTCAATAAAGCACTTTTTAACTTTTAAGGAATCTTTAAGTAAAGAGAGGTAGGGCATAACGGAATTCCCGCTCGAATTGGAGCGTCTGGGGAACTAACCTGCACCTTACCGGAAACCATCTTATAAATACATATATAAAATAATACTACATTTTCGTGGTGTTGTGTTTCTGTCGGAGAGTTAAAGTTCGGGGACTCCACGGGGTAGGGGATGGTGTCAGGGTAGGCAACGGCGTGAGCGATATTTTTGTAGTGAAAACTTTTTAGTATCCTTGTGACTTGAGATTGGATGAAACGGAAGTAGAGTATTTGACACAAGATAGGTATCCGTAATTTTATCATTTACTATAAGAGACGGATAGCCGAACGGTAACGGTGTTGGGGTCGACACCAACTGATCGGTGGTTCGGTGGTTCGATCCTGAGCTCGATTATTTTCATTGTATTTTTTCTTTTATTAAGCTTATATTTCTTTTTAGATACAACTAGCTGGGTCCCGTGGTGTTACCCGCGGTTTATTAAGGATATTTTCCAGCAGTAAAACATAGCCTATGTGTTAATCCAGGGTGTCAGCTAGCTTCATACCAAATTTTATTAAAATCGCTCCAACCGGTTAGACGTGAAGAAGTAACAAGCATACTCACTTACACACCACGTGATTTAGGTATAGAATATTTAATTTTGCCATGTATTTTACAGTACCTAGTCATGAAGAACTCTTACGTGTTCACATTTATGTAGGTTTCACTTCTAGCGCATGTGTACAGCATATGTCAGTTTTTTTTGTTCCGCTTGCGTCTATATGCTATGGTGGCCGATTACCATCAGGACGGCCATATGCTTGTTGGCCACGCTTTCGACATATAATGAGTATTTTTAATTTGAAGATAAATTTAGTCTATGTAACCTACACTTTCGGAGTAGTTATAAGCAGTAGTTTCGAATATTGCTGTCAGTCAATGCCCTGCTATCGCATCTGTACTGTTCCCAGACAATATCATATAAACAAACTACAATAGTTACGTTGCTTGTCGACTACACCAATGTGCAACGACGAGGTTCAGTGCGATATATCTCATTCTAGTACATTTGGGACTGCTACCACACAAAGGAAATAACATGATGCTATTAATGTATGTCTGTTTGTTAGTATAACCTAGATAATTTTAGCAAAATGTTGCATTCACGTTTGACCTGCTTCATTTAGTAACTTCTCATTCAAGAAAGGAATACTTTTAACGTTGCGTTTTCGCGACTTTTAAGTACTTTTTATTTTGTTGTCACTAATCTCTCTCTCTTTTAAAATAAATAAAAAGGGAAAATAAATGTGTTTTTTCCGGACAAAGTAAAATCCTCGACTCTTTTTCACAAAAAATATATTTTGCTAATATTTGACGTAGCAAATATTCAGTGAGCGCGGGTAACAGATGTCCCGCAGCTTCCTGTCCCTCGCACGTCGACGTCCCTCCCTCGCGCTTCCATTCTTTCATCCCGCAAACCCTTAATCGTTCCGTGTGTCCCGGGTTCAGCTGGACACATCCCGTCCGGTGAAATCGAATGACCGTAAGGACCTATAATAAAACATGGGAAGTTGCTACAGAAATATAATAAGTAATAAAAAGTAAAAGTGAGTGTTACGGAGCTCTCGGTTGGAACGACGTTAAAAATAAACATAATAGACACACAATACGCTACGAAACAATTAACGGTTGTAACGAAAAAATCTCACAACTTTTTTCACCTAGCACCATCCGCCAAGTACATACCGTCCGAAAAGGAACTTCATTCCCTTTTTTTTCAATTCTAATATATTAATAGCTCATTAATACCTCGTTTTTCATAAAAACTACTTTATTTGCTTTCATTATTATCCATACAGCACTCTGCAAAAAATAATTATGTATGTGTATACAATTTTAAAAGCGACATAACTTTAATATTTATTACACTCATCTTTCTTATACGCTAAATAGAGTACGCAATATAAATATTGTGAAGCATTCTTTCAAATATTTGCTTGCTGCGGGACTGCCCTGTGTCCACGCCGGAACTATGAAGGCCGACCCCGCCGACGCGCGCCGGTCCTGGCCCGGCCGCGCCGACTAACTTCGTTTGTCGCCAAACTTCCGACTTAGCCCCAAGTTAGCGTCTACTTACAATTCAACAATAACATGTGATTTCGCTATTAATGTTATTTATCAAATCATTATTCGGAT